ACCCCTGGTCCTCCAGCATCCCACAATGCACTGGGGTCCTCCCACCCTGGGTCCTCCAGCATCCTTAAACATCCCACAATCCCATGGGGTCCTCCCACCCCAGGTCCTCCATCATCCCACAATGCATTGGGGTCCTCCCACCCGGCCTGGTCCTCCAGCATCCCACAATCCCACGGGCTCCTCCCCCCCTCACCCCACGTTGTCCATCCACGTCTTCCAGTTCTTCTCATGAAACTTGGGGACGAGCTGAAGGCGCCCCGATGCCACCGCCCTGTTGGGGAGGGGGGGGGGGGAGGAAAGTCACACACCCCCCCTCAAAAAATGTCCCCCTTACCCCCCCCAAAATGCCCCCAGGTGACCTCACGGGCACGCTGCGCCATCTCCTGACACCGCAGGAACCACTGGTCCTTGAGGAGGTACTCAATGACGTCCCCCGAGCGGCTGTGGGGACATTGGGGACATCTCAGGGACGTGTCCCTGGGGGGGGGGGGGGGGGGGGCCCCCCCCAACCCCCCCGAAGGGGGGGGGGGGGGGGGGGCCGGCGGGGGGGTACCTGCACATGGGCAGTGTCATGGCGTGGTCCTGGGTGCCCCGGTACAGCCCGCGCTGGGACAGAGCTGTCACCACTTTGTCCCTCGCCACGAAGCGGTGGACGCCCTGGGAACGGGGTTGGGGACGTTTGTTGGGGACAGCAGGGGACATAGGGATGGGGTTGGGGACAGGAAGGGACGTAGGGGACACAGGGATGGGGTTGGGGACAGGAGGGGACAATGAGGATAGGGTTGGGGACATGGGGTACGTGGGCACGGGGTTGGGAATGGGGACGTGGGGATGGAGACATTGTTGGGGACATTAGGGGACATACGGATGGGATTGGGGACAGGAAGAGACATGGGGATGGGGTTGGGGACGTTGGGGACAGCAAGAGACATAGGGATGGGATTGGGGACAGAAAGGGACGTGGGGATGTGGATGTGGGGGACGTAAGGGACACAGGGATGGGGTTGGGGACAGGAGGGGACAGAAGGGGATGTGGGGATGGAGTTGGAGACATGGGGATGGGGACATGGGGTCATGAGGGGATGTGGGGATGTGGTTGGGAACATGAGGATGGGGACATGAACACGGGGTTGGGGACAGGAAAGGACATGGGGATGGGGACATGGGGACAGGGTTGGGGACAGGAGGGAACATGGGAATGGGGCTGGGGACATGGATGGGGACATGGGGACTGGGTTGGAGACATGAGATGGGAACAGGAGAGGACATGGCTACAAAGTTGGGGACAGGAAGGGACGTGGGGACGGGGAGGGGGACATGGATGGGGTTGGGGACATGGATGGAGACATGAGGACACGGAGAGACATGGGGTTGTTTTTGGGGACACAGGGACAAGGGGGAACATGAGGAGGGAGACGAGGACATGGATGGGGACAGGAGGGACCATGGGGACAACAAGACAGGGGACAAATGTGGGGACTGGAGATGGAAGGAACATCAGCAGGTGACAAGGGACACGGTTTTGTGACCCCATTTGGGGACGTGAGGACGGGGAGGACAACAGGAGGTGGCACCCAGCCACGCAGACAAGAGACAAAGGCAAAAGGGACAGAGGTGACACTGAAGGGACACCAAAGGGACGCGGTACCTGGAGCCACCCCCCCCCGGGGGGACACATGGTGCCATCATCGGCGATGACGGAGAGCAGAGGCAGCCCGTGGGCACGCGCCAGGGCCAGGTCAGGGTGACTGTGTCCTGGTGTCACCTTCACTGCCCCTGGAGGTTGGGGACAGGAGATGTGGGGACGCACCCACGGCTGCCACATCACCCCACGGCCACCTCACTGTCACCCCCATCCCCATCGTCAACCACCATCCCGTTGTCAACCACCCCATTGTCACCATCCCGCTGTCACCACCACCCCATTGCCACCACTCTCTTGTCACCATGACCCCATTGTCACCACCACCCCATTCTCAACCACAACCTCATTGTCCCACCCCACTGCCATTCCCACCCCATTGTCGCCACCATCCCCATTGTCAACCGCCCCACTGTCACCCCCACCCCATTGTCACCCCCCAATCCCACAGTCAACCACTCCATTGTCACCATGACCCCATTGTCATCCCACTGTCAGCCACCCCACTGTCACCACCATCCCACTGCCAACCCCCACCCCACTGTCACCACTCCACTGTCAACCACCCCACTGTCACCCCCATCCCATTGTCAACCACCCCACTGTCACCCCCACCCCACTGTCAACCATCCCATTGTCACCACGATCCCATTGTCACCCCCATCCCACTGTCAACCACCCCATGGTCACCATCACCTCGTTGTCACCCCCACCCCATTGTCACCCCCAATCCCACAGTCAACCACTCCATTGTCACCATGACCCCATTGTCACCATGACCCCATTGTCATCCCATTGTCAACCACCCCACTGTCACCACCATCCCATTGCCAACCACCATCCCATTGTCACCATCCCACTGTCACCACCATCCCGTTGTCACCACTACCCCAATGTCAACCACCACCTCAATGTCACCCACCCCAATGTCATCACCCCACTGCCAACCACCCCATTGTCACCATCACCCCATTGTCACCACCACCCCACTGTCACCCACCCTATTGCCACCCCCACCTCACTGTCAATCACTTCATTGTCACCATGACCCCATTGTCATCCCATTGTCATCACCCCTCCATTGTCTACCACCCCATTGTCACCACCACCCCGCTGTCAACCACCCCATTGTCACCACGACCCCATTGTCACCACGACCCCCACTGTCACCACGACCCCATTGTCACCACGACCCCATTGTCACCACGACCCCATTGTCAACCACCCCACTGTCCCCATACCGGTGCCCCTTGTGGGCTCCACCGTGGGGTCGGTGACAACAGGCAGCAGCTGCCCAGTGAACGGGTGACGAAGATGGCGGCCATGAAGGTGCTGGAGGAGGGATGGGGGTGGAGTCAGTACAAGCCCCGCCCCCTAAACAGAGCCACACCCACCCCCATAGGCTCCACCCACCCCATAGGCTCCTCCCACCCCATACCTGGTATCGGGGGTCCATAGGGTGCACGGCCACAGCCACGTCCCCCAGCATCGTCTCGGGACGTGTGGTGGCCACCGGGAGCTCCAGGCCTGGGGACAACCAGGGGAGACGGTGGGGAAACCAAGGAGGAAGTGGGGGGAGGGACGTGGGACGTCGTTGGGGACACGTTGGGGACAGCAAGGGGCGCGTTGAGGACACGGCGGGGATGTGAAGGAGGAGGTGTGTGTGTGTAGGGCATCGGGGGACACCACAGGGGACACCTCAAGAGATGGGGACAGCAAAGGACCCCAGCTGGACACCTCAGGAGGGGGGACACAAATGGGGACACTAAAGGGACACCAAAGGACACGAGTGGGGACGCGTAGGATGAGATGGGTGCGCAAAGGACAGGGGGGGACACCAAAGGACACAAATAGGGACAAAAAATGGGGACACAAAGGGACACACAGAGATCACGCTGGAGATGTATAGGAAAAGATGGGTGAGTGCAGGATGCCAAAGGGGACAGCTCAGGAGGTGGGGACACAAACGGGGACACCAAAGGGACACCAAAGGACACGAGTGGGGACACAGTGGGGACGTGAAGGAGGAGATGGGTGCATGTAGGACATCAGGGGACACCAAAGGGGACATCTCAAAAGATGGGGACACCAAAGGGGACACCAAAGGGGACACCAAAGGGGGGACATCTCAAGAGATGGGGACACCAAAGGACACGAGTGGGGACAACAAGAACCACAAAGGGACGCTTTGAGGACACAGTGGGGACTTGTAGGAGGAGGTGGGTGCATGTAAGACACCAAAGGGGGACACCAAAGGGGGACACCAAAGGGGGACACCAAAGGGGGACACCAAAGGGGGGACACCAAAGGGGGGACATCTCAGGAGATGGGGACACAAATAGGGACACCAAGAGACACCAAGGAACGCACTCAAGACACAGTGGGGACATGGAGGAGGAGGTGGGTGCATGCAGGACATCAGGGGACACCAAAGGGGGTCACCAAAGGGGGTCACCAAAGGGGGGACACCAAAGGGGGGACACCAAAGGGGGGACACCAAAGGGGGGACACCTCTCACCATCATCCCCCTCCACGGGGTAAGCGAAGGTGACGAGGACACCGAAGGTGACGGCGTGGGGACAGCCAGGGACACGCAGCTCCGTGGGGCCAGTCAGGGGTCGTGGTTCCACCTGCGGCCACATAAACGTTAGGGACACGTCGGGGGACACGTTGGGGACACTTCTGGGGACAAGGTCACCTCCACATCAGCCACGGCAGAGCGCAGGGCGCACGACCAGTTGACCAAACGCCGATCGCGTCGCACCAAGCCAGCGCGGTGCAGCCGCACAAACGCCTCCGTCACCGCCCTGGAGAAGCCCTGGGGACACCGTGGGGACACCGTGGGGACAAATGCCACCCCCACTGGTGGCCCCGTAGGGACAGGGAGGGGACACGAAGGCTCACGGGGTCCATGGTGAAGGCGCAGCGGCTCCAGTCCAGCGAGGCCCCCAGGGAGCGCAGCTGGCGCAGGATTTCGTCACCGTGCCTGGGGGTGACGAGTCCCCAAGGTGTCCCCAACCCATGTCTCACGTCCCCAA